CTAAAAGTCTGGAAGAAAGAAAAAAAAAAAATCCACCACCCTCACCCCCCCAAAAAAAAAACCCAAAAACAAAAAACAAGAAAAAGTTAATGACTAGAAGAATACATCAAAATTTCACAATATTTTAGGTGTTGTATATTTTTGGAGATTTATGAAGGTACAGGAAAAGTACAAGAATTTGAAGAATTATGAGAATTATGTGAACATCAAAGGTACAAGAACATCTCCTACCTGAGCATTGCTTCTGGGAATATGTTTATGTAACATGAAAACAAATCCATTTCTCATATTTTATATGAAACTGTATCAAACAAAAGAAAAAAGAAGTTGGCTGTTAGGGAAAATGATTTAAAAACAAAAAGTTGTTTGACAGTGAATATTTGTAACCAGCATCTTACTAATTTCTTCTCTAGTTCTTGATGTGTTTTGTTGGACCCATCATTATGTGTAAAGGCCAAAATGGAAAAGAACAATTATTTATATTTTCCAGTAGCTTAAAACAGAACAACTCTGTAAGAGGCCTTATAAGGTAATAAACAATTTATTCTCCCTTCCAGCTTTCAGCTAAACATTTTCAAAGAGAAGAGAAAAAAGTCTTTCTGCTTTTATGAATATTAGGGCTGGTTTTTATTTTAACATGTAACTATAAGGATCAGAAAATAGCTACTTTTCTCTAGGGAGATTGTGTTTTATCTTTTCTATTGGTCAGAACAGTTTCAATGTAAAGTGATAACACTAGTCTGCAAAATTAATTAAAAGTGAGTTTTAATGACAGTCCCACAAGTAGATAGGTTGGATTAGAAAAGCAGAAATTTTATAAATCTACTAAAAAAGCCCCAGAGGAAGGTACACTGAGAGTTGGTTAGTATTTCAGCACTTTTTTAAAATCATTTTCCTCTCTTACCAGCATTATTTTGCTTTGCGTTCTTCTGCTGTTGTAAAGGTCATTCTTTTTGAGTAGGAAATACAAGTCAGATGCAAATGGTTTAGGCTTTGCTGTACCTAATTCTGCCTGGCCCTTGAGGAGGAATTTCAGGTCCTGAGGCTGGTGCTGGGCTTTGCTATTTGGTGCTGGTGATGAGCTAGGTGGGTAGGGCACCAGAGCAAGTGCATTCATGCCTGTCTCACCCCCTGTGCCTGAGCACTGAATCGTGAGAGCCGAGCTCTGATGCTATGGGAATTTCCATCCTACCCTGATACATTGATTTCTGGATTGATTCTCAAAAGGAGGCACCTTCATTGGTGGCTTCCAAAGCTGGTTGGTTTTGTTGGTTTTTTTGGTTTTTTTTTTCCTAAATGTAAGTGTCTTTGGAAACAAAACTTAATTAAATGTCATAAGAGACAAGCTGAATGTGGTGGGCTGGTGGTTTGAACACGGTAACCTTGCAGCGGAGCACTTGCTAAGGATGTTGTTTGAAGGGAAGCTCAACATGAGCTGGCAATGTGCACTTGCAGCCCAGAAGGCCAATAACTGTATCCTGGTTTGCATCAAGAGAAGCGTGGCCAGCAGGTCAAGGGAGGGGATTCTGCCCGTCTACTCCACCTTCTTGAGTACCTGGAGCACCACGATCAGGTCTTGAGCCCCCAGTGTAAGAAGGCCATGGACCTCTTAGAGTGAGTCCGGAGGAGAGCCATGAAGATAATCAGAGGGCTGGAGCAGAGTTGGGGCTGTTCTGCCTGGAAAAGAGAAGGCTCCAGGGAGACCTTCTAGAGGCCTTCCAGTACCTGAAGTTTATTTTCATTCAGTGGAGCATCAGCTCCAAAGTAAATCTCACTTCTGTAAATGAGATTCAACATTTGGGCGTCACTTATCCAGTCTCCAGTGGTATCGCCAGCTACTACTATATTGCATTTGATATATATTGCTGTTAACTTCAGCAGG